ATGGAATATATATTTATATGAGGTCAATGGCCAATTCAATTTTTTTTTATAATTTAATATTTAATATTTTTCATTGCATGTTGAATGATAAATTCAAAATGTCATTTTAAACTCATTCTAATATGAAAGAAACATTTATGGGCTTGGATTAAAAAAAATCATTATAAAAAAATGAAATAACAATCACTATTTTTTTTATATAGCCAATATCTATCAAATCAGTCTCTATTTTTACAGAGACATATTAAACTGGAAAAGGGATGTCGAAGGATGTTTAGAACACTTTATTAATAACCTCTCTGTTAGTTCAGTACCTCTTGTGTCTCATGAATATTCCCACATCTCAGAACGACTGGAAAGTTTACAGAAGATTCGCATTAAATATGATCTAGAGTCTAGGAGGGTATATGTCGTCGGCGAACGTGAGTTTGTTGGGATAGCAATCATGGAAATAAAGAAATTGTTAAGTGCCGACTTATCTCAGGAAAAACAGAAACAAATCAAGTTATCGTGTTCCGAAACCTTTCTTCTGATGAGTTCTGACATCGAGAAAGAAATTACAAAACAAGTGAAAAATATAAAAGTAACATTAAACTTGGCAGGAAATGAAATTCGTTTGTTCGGAAATGAAGAGGCTTTGCATTCTGCCTGTTCGATTATTTCCAACGAACGATATGGCATCAAAGAGAGACTTGTTAGTAGCTTGTCCCCTGAACAACGATATCTAATTGGACTCCCAAGCACCAAAAGGATTCTATGTCAAAAAATCAAGGCTTCAAATGCCCAGTGTTATATTGACACTTCAACAGCTGATACAGTCAAGTTATTTGCATTCACAGAAAATGATTTAAATAAATCTGAGAATCTTCTTGAAACAACAATAATTGTTAAGGACATTGATATCCATGGTGATTTTGAGGGCTCAATAAGTCCAAAGGAGTATGGTTCGTTGTTTAGACAAACAGAGAGCAAGTTTGATGGTCTGGTGAAAATTGAATACGTCCCAGAGAAGTTCGCAGTCAGGATTGTATGTGTCGTGGATCACATTGAAGCCGTTAGGAAGGAGGTTGAAATAATTCTCTCCAGGAGCCAAATGTTTGAAGTGGTGGATCTATACAGACCCTGTTTATTTAGACATCTGTTAAAGACAAGAACGGATGACATGAAAGCCCTTTCACAGAAAAGCAATGTTGTTTCTTTGACAAACTCCAAACTTTGTGCACTGAGGGTTAAAGGCAAATGTAAGGCTGTTTCACATTTCCGGGATCAAGTTGCAGACGTTGTGAAATCCATTGCATGGAAGCGACATCACGTGCCAATACCCTCAAAGTATAGGGAAAGTTTTACTGATATGTGTTTGGCATTAGAGACTAAGACTGAATGTAAAATAGACGTTGTCAGCCAAAAATGTATAACAAACATTGAATCGATAGATAGAAAGATAATTGTAATGGCAGGAAGTCTTAAATACATTGAATGTGACGCCATGGTTGTGTATGCAAATACAGAACACAAGCCTAAGGGTAGACAGTCAAAGCTGGTATATCAAGCAGGTACTGCCTATGATCTTATTTTTACTCTTATTTGTTCATATTAAATTAAAGAAAAAATATTAAACAAAATACAAGTGAGTGTTATCTAAATGGATTTAAAATCCTCTGAATTTCAGGTGGAAAGTTGCTTTTGAGGGAATGTAGAGAGAAGAAATCAGAAGCCGGTGAGCTGGAGGAGTGGACAGTTGTGTCAACAGGGGCCGGAAACTTGAGGAACTGTTTGTCTTTGTTACACGTTATAACTCCAAATGCGTGGTCTCAAGTCCCACTAGAGTCTTTGAAGACAGTTTATCAACTCTGTCTTAGTACGACGGAGAAACATCGATTCCGGTCCATAGCTTTGACCTGTGTTGATGGACTATCAATCATTCAACAAGTGAAAGCCTTGATTAGCTCAATTAAAACGTACTTTGAATGTTTTCCCGAGAGTGGAATAAGAACCATCGTATTTTGTGACCACAGAATGTCTGCAAATTCTTTTCTGGATGAGTTCCTGACGTCAACACCGTCATGGAACTGTATTGTAGAGAGTCATTTAAAGAACAACGTTTCTTCGTGGTTTGTTAAATCAGGTTCATTTTTATTTAGCTATAACATATTTATTGCTTTAATTGAAGAAACATGAGAATTTCCTTTTTACAATTGTTTTGCACCTAAAGCCGTTTATGCTATTTTGATTTATACTGCCTCTTGTTTTAAAAATATATCTCTATTCTATAAAAAGGCAGGCTACCTTAGACCCTTTTTTGCTGTGTAAGTGGTTTTTCTTCCTTTATTACGAGGACCCTTTGACTTGCAGACGTAATTTTCCAGTTGGAACGTATAAATAAATAAACTTCAAATGCATTTATATTCAATGAAAGCAGTCAACTGTATATTTGAATTTTTGTAAGAGAAATTTGAGGAGATAGCGAAAAATATTATAGCTCGTGGTCCAAAGTCCATTAAACATTACATAACGGTAGCGGAGCAAACACGAACCTCCACAACATCAGAGATGAGATCATCTGCCATAATAAATCCTTATCCTATATCTTATGTACATTAATACTTTTACACATAGTGACCACGAGAAGCGGATTACGAACTAAAATCACTTATTATGAATCTATGAATATAAAGTATATGTATATTTAAAAGAAACAGGCGCGACCACTATATCTTATGACTCGCCACAAATTCTATAATGATCGACTAAAACAAAAAAAATAGTCTTTTGAATCATTTGTAGGCACTTATTTTATAATCTGTTTTATATAAAGACAGTAAATATATAATTATATGTGTAAAACTGAAGTTAAAAAGTGGTTAAAGTTTAATATAATTAGAAAAAAAATCCTTCTTCTCACTATTTCAGTTGAATATATGGCTTCAACTACATCTTAATATATGAAATTAATATTACTTATGAATGATTCTAGGTCAACAAGATCCGATAAAGTAATTCAGAAATATTTTTTGCTTTAAATCAGTTAAATAGTAGCCACCTTTAATATCTACAGGTTGTGAATGGAAGAAGACCCTAAATATAAATCAGTCGTCATCGTTTAAATTCAATGTTGGAGACATTACTGTTTGTGGAATGTTAGGGGACATAACGGATACCAGGGTGGATGCTATTGTCAACAGCTCTAACAAATTCCTGGACCTGACCAAAGGTATGTGCAGCTTTTGTTCGGGGCAGAAGTAAGAGTAATTATATTGTTAATATCCTTTACTTCTGTAAAACATTTACTGTGGAATCTTTTTATTTAGAAGTGTCAATGTTTCGACTGATTTTTTCTCATTTGTACAGTAGATACATTCAAGCATTGCGTAGATTAAATAATCATTCGTGGAAATCTATTAATTCATGGGTATGATAGAAATAATTAAGATTAATGCTAAATTTCTTCGACTTACTTTCCTTGTCATGTTAACCGATATATTCCTCATTCTTACTCCGATATCTCCATCAATCTTTTACAGTGATATATTCCTCATTCTTACTCCGATATCTCACTCAGCCTTTTACAGTGATATATTCCTCATTCTTACTCCGATATCTCACCCAATCTTTTACAGTGATATATTCCTCATTCTTACTCCGATATCTCACTCAATCTTTTACTTATGTATCATTAGGTGCGGTGTCTCAAAACATTTTAATCAAAGGTGGAACCATACTGGAAAATGAACTTAAATCAACAGAAAAACGTACGTCTTTCCCTTACGTTTTTAATACCATTTATAATATCTTATCGTTTAAGGACATTCATATTTCCTCCTTGAAATTTTATCATTAATTAATGTCAATGGCAGTGACAGGTCTTGACATTTCTTTTATTTTTATCTAATAGTTTAAAGCATATCAAAGTTGCGAACCATTCTGGTCTCAATAACATTAATAAACAGATATGCAGGTCTGTAAATTATGAACAAGAAAATTGCGATAAAATGACGAAAAGTATAACGAATTTTGTGAACATACACCTCAAATCGGATAATCCAAAGAAAAGTTCTATTTTTACGTGATTCATTTTCTTTGCAATTCAATGTATTCTAGTAAAACCTAGAAGGTTTTATTTTTTATGTACAAATTTGTTTATTTTCATGCATTGGTTGTTAGATTTACCTGACAGTTTTAATTGTATAAATGTAATTTACCAACACCACAGGTCGTGAGATCGATAAGCAAGGTTTGGCTGTAACTACCTCCGGTGACCCTTCACAGATCCCCTGTTTGTTTATATTTCACGTGGATTCCGTTTCCGTCAGTAGATCTTTTAAAGTGACTGTTGCTTGGAAAAAGATGGTTCTTAAATGTTTACAAAAAGCAGAAGAAATGAAATTGTCAAGCCTAGCATTTCCTGCACTGGGAACAGGTAAATATTTAATTACCAAATTAGACTACAACGTCATCGGTTAAACTAAGTGAAGTACTAAATATATTGTCTATATGTAATAATTGCAAAAATATACATGCAAAACATTGTTATAGACTCTTCATTTGGCTGATACGGTTTGATATCACCAGGAAAATTTATTCCAAGTCTACTATAATTTTTTATCAAAGTGTTGATATAATCAAAGAGATACGAAACCATAACCCTAACCCTGATGCTATATTGTTCCTTAAAGAGTTAGTATTTCCGATTCAAAGACACTCACAACCTAAATTGGGGCCCGAATTCAATAGTATCCCCAAAGGATTATCCCCAAAGGAACCACATAATGAGACGAGATTCTCTTTCTGGTGGTCCATGTGCGGTGTGACCCTCTGTTTGTGTCGACCGTCATTCAAAGACACTCATCACCCAAACACCTCAATAACATTCTTTCGATTAGTTCTCATCTTTAAAGGGATTCTGGCTTTGACATTATGCTCAGACCTACACGTCCGACGTCCTCATGTCATTCCCTGTTTGAGGGATAGTCACATTGATACATGACTCCAATAGTGTCGTCATCATCAACTCTGGGATTATCGCCGAAAGGAATGAGACGAGATTAAATTTCTGGCCACCCAAGGAAGCTTCACCAGTTACTGACTATGTTTAGCAATGGTGGTCAATGTTTTGTGTGACCCTGTTTTAGTGTCGACCTTTTTTTTGGAAATCTGTTTTCAAATAAACTGACATTTTACAAATGTTTTCTGTCATTTGTTGTCTTCCTGACCTCATGATCTGCTTTCCATTGTCCTTGTTATACCGTATAAGCAGAATTTTTGGCGAGGATTTAATTCTGGCATTTTTAGCGAGTATGCTGAGATCACTAAAATTGAATATTGCTAAAAATTAACTGCGCTTTATTTGTAATAGCTTCTCTTGTGAGCTTTATAAATTCGCTAAAATTACATCTCGCAAAAAATAAAATACCTATTTTAAGGACCAATCGCTAAATTTGTGTCTTGCTAAAATTTCCACTGATACGGTATTCACTACACTTTTTAATCGCATATAAATATTGATACATATTTATTTGTATCAATAATCTCTGTCACTGGTCATTTTGAGCTAAAAGTTATATCTTATTTCTAGTAAATATAAAACCATTTCATCCACTTGAAGAGTCAAAAATCGTTTTATTTTATATGCCAGAAATTAATAATTAGTCATTGATAGCTGCGTAATGACATTTCCATTTGCGTTCTTGTATTGTGTACAGAAGAATAAAAAATGACTAGATTAAAAGTAATATTCTGTGTGTTCCTTTCATTGTTAAAGACTAGTAAAACATATTACAGTCCTAATGTTTCAATTAATACCAAGCGGTGTTTTGGTTTATTTCTGGTCAAACAGTCAGCTTGCTTCGAGAAATGCAGTTGTTTTATGTATGGTTTGTGATGTGACAATAGCCATCTCTCACGCACTGACGCTGAATACGCTGAATGTTCAATCCCCAAAGTTCTGCCTTTAAATAGATTAATAAAGACACTATAGACGACATTATTTTTATAAAGAAGCATCCCTCAAAAAAAATCTTTTTAAGAAAAACCTCCGCATTGGTAAACAGGATTTGCAAACTAAATTCTTGATTCATTGGAATAACTTCATTTAGAATAGTGTTAGATTATATAAGGATTATAACTAGACTGTACAGCTGTATAAAATCTTTTCTTCATCACAGGGACTTTACATGGGAATATAAGGATTATATGTAGACTATACAGTTGTATAACATCTTTTTTTCATCACAGGGACTTTACATGGAAACATAAGGACGACATCGCAGTTCATGTTGGAGGCTCTAGAAGAATTTGTCAAAAGAGGACCCATTCACCTAAACCAAGTCTTCGTCATAGTTCTGGATCAGTCCGTGTTGGTGGAGTTACATGATGCAATGCGTGATCGATACATTGGTATTTTAAATACATTGGAATTATTAGTACATGTAGTTATATGATGCAATCCATGATCGATACACTGGTATTATAAATACATCGAAATTATTAGTAGTTACATAATTAAATATAGGGAGGGGGCGAACAGTATTCAAACTTAAAAGTCCATAAATCAATACAATATTGGAGCAGATCAATCACAGGCATGAAAACATCAGAGGCGGGGTCAGGTGCCATGGGGGAGTTTGCATCCCCTGTCGACTAGTCACTCCCGCCACGATGCAATGCATTATCGATACACTGTAATAGATACACATCGTAAAATTTTAGTTATATGATGCTATACGTGATGCAATGCATGATATATTGGTGTTCTATACACGTCGTAATGATTAATACTAGTTACATGTATCACAAGACGCAATGCTTGATCGATAAATTGGTTACATGATACAATGTATGATCGATTCGCAAATATTCTATGCACGACAGAATTGCATGCATTATTAGTTACAAGATGCAATGCATTGACAATACATTTGTATTCTATACACATTGGAATTATATGTGTTTGATACATTGGTTTTTCTTAACATATTATATTTTCCACTAGATGTACGTCCATTAAAACATCTACATAATAAACAATACAGTCTAAGATCTTATATTCTGGGTTTACTAAGATTAAGAGGGATTTGGGACATTTTTATTGTATGTTTTACATTATAAGATACAACTTTACCTCTTTATTACCTTTATTAATATAAAAAAATAGAGCAAGCGTTTTATTACATGTCAACAAGACGCACTTAATTATTTTGATTTTAATGTATATGCCTCAATATAGGAAAATGCGTGTAAATTTGCGAAAAGCGTCACTCGTTTTTATTTTTATAAAACTTTAATACATGAACATTGTAATGCCTAACAATAAAACATCCATTGCGTTTTGTTCTAGTGATTTAACGACTACAGGGTCATATGTGTTAAATATTTATGCATAAAGTGCCATGTTAAACATAAAATGGTTGTACTTTATAAATATTGCTATTACGTCAGAATACCTTTATAGATAATATGATATTATGGCACTTTAATATATCATACATCATAGATATTGCGGTAAAGTTAGTATATTTTGATAGATGACCTGAAGTTGTGGACAACAGACATATTATACATCATATACGAGGGCTAGTCGGAAATTATTGAGACAATTACATTTTTTCCATAACGGACGGAGATAATTTTATGATAATTCATCAGCATTTTAAAAACAGCGAATATGAAACTTATTCAAAATGTCTAATTCCTATGATAATAAGTAAAGTTTCGGTGAAATGATAAACATACATATGTCTACCGATCCGGAGCAGCATTGCTACGTCATTTACGTCAGCCGGAGATGGTTTTGCGTGTAAAACGACCGGAAAGCGTTTAATACTTTTCCTTTTTGTTATTACATATAACATTACAAAAATCAAAATCTCTTTTCTTAAACTATTCTTTAAAAATGTATGCTGTTGCTACCCCAGTTTGAAATTTTCATTTGTGGGAAAGGATAACTTTGAATCATTCAGTGTCGATTTATGTTAAATAATACCGTAACGATATTAATACCGTACGTAATAACTGATAGTCGTCCGGAGCTTTTGTTTTTACTCTGGTTGAATTAATTGTAAAAAGAAAATGTATACCAATAAAATAACAAACCCTAACACATTAGTTTTTCTCGTTGTCATTGTTTTAGCAGGTCGATCAGTCTGGAAAAGAGTTCTACATTGCGCTACACAAAATTTTAGGTATGCTGGCTGCTCCGCCCTTGACGTCAAAATCCAATTTTCCGTTCTTAGCAGATTTCTCTACCGCGCTTTATTTTTTATGATCTCCGTATTCCTGATCAAACTTCAAACAAAGTTGCACAACATGAATTTGAAATAAAGCTGCACAATTATACACATAAACTGAATTATTTTCGCTCTTATTATGGGTCCACGAAGAGTAGGAACGTTGGTGATACATATTTTCAATATCTGATTTTGTGACTGCTCCGGGTACCCCTACTATTGACGCATTTATATACCATTGTACAGAAAATATTTAATATTTGTAAAACATGTTTTGCTTTTATTGATTTTTAGTCTATGTCAAACGTAAATACAAATTTTCACCGAAAGACGTTCATTAGAAAGCAAAATTTATACAGTGTCTCAATAATTTTCTAACAGCCCTCGTACATGTATATTACAATCAATATTACAATCAAGTCAGTATAATTCCAATCTTAATTTTATTTATTGATTCCCTGTGTTTTGATTGGACGAGAACAAACTCAAGAACAAACTCAAGAAAAAGTTTACACATCGATGAATTTTTCAATCAGAACTACTTTCTTGACCTAGCTTCTAGGCTGCTGTAAAAACAATGAAAACAGATATACATGTACTTCTTGTCCGTTTCAGCTAAATTATGATTACAAGAAACTTGAAATGAAAAAAAAGCAAAACAGGAGATAAACAGGACTGACAGACGGGAATATTATGTTTATGTCACTGTTGGATCACGAGTGTGAATTTTAAATATCGCTGATCATGCTGTCATTTTCTCGACGTTCTATATCAGCTCAGTTGGTATCGTTGTGATAGGGAAAAGAAACGTACCTCAGACTGTTGCCTTAGCAGCATCAAATTCATATATTTACATCCTACAGATCCCATATTCTCCCTAAATCATCGAACGAACTAGAGCAAATCGAGGACGTCGTCGGTCAGCAACTTTCACTATGAGCGTTGTTGATAATAGGTTAATGTCAACATGGCCATGGTCAAGGACGAATTATTCTGGAGAATACGCGTATTTACGATATTTGTTGACTTAAACAACATTCAATGAGTTTTATAAGTTTATTTATCGATTGTTTTGACAATTTAAGTTGGATTTTATCGATATTCATCTTGTATGTTTCGTTGCGGCATAAAATATCCATACGCCGTACAAAATAACGGATTGTATGGCGGCCTCAAAGAGAAATAATTTTAATAATTTTTAAAATTCGTAATTGGCACTTTTATTAAGTTTGTGAGTAAAGAGGCAGAGTTTACACATCGATATATTCTGAAAAAAGAACTTTTAATCCTATAATATTTTGATAGATAACCTGAGGTTATGGAACCCTGAATACGAGGGAGAAATGACAGGTGAAGTCCTGATTTGTGGAGAATCGGAGGATATTGTAGACAGAGCGGCACAAACCATAAACACAACACTGTTTGCTATCCCCACCAACACGTGATGTAACATTTAACCAATTAACGCAGAATCATTCGCCTTCCACAACAACACGTGATGTAACATTTAACCAATTAACGCAGAATTATTCACCATCCACAATAACATGTGATATAACATTCAACCAACTAACGCAGAATCATTGTCTTTCACGCCTACAGGTGATGTAGCATTAATATTCTACCAATTAACGAAGAATCATTCGCCATCCGCAACAACACGTGATGTAGCATTCAACCAATTAAAACAGAATCATTCGCCATCGACAACAACACGAGATGTAGCATTCAACCAATTAAAACAGAATCATTCGCCATCCACAACAACACGTAACGAAGCATTTAACTGACTAACTCAGAGTCATTCGCCATCCTCACTAACACGTGTTGAAGCATTCAACGAGTAATTCATTCAGAATTATTCAGCCATCCACAACAACACGTGATGTAGCCACTTAACGCAGAATCTTTCGCCATTCAAACCAACACGTGATGTACAATGTAGCATTCAACAAATTCAACAAAGTAACGCAGAATCATTGGCCATTCTCACCAACACGTGATGTAGCATTCAACAAATTAACGCAGAATCATTCGCTATCCTCACCAACACATGACATGGCATTATTTAATCTCAATTATGCAGCTATCATCACGTGACACAGTACTGCGACATCCATATGGATGTTTGACATAAGCTTACAAAATTCATGAACAAGGCAATTAGATCAAATGTAAGATACAGTAATTGTCTGATGTATTTTCTTTCGTTCTGTTTTGAGGTAGGATTCTTCTCTGGTTTCTGACTAGATGGAATATTCAAAGTATATTTGTTGATATGTCTGATATATTTAGATGTAAGAGATTTAAGAGACCATATTTTTCTTTCCTCATCACAATTATACAACTTTAAATAGAAATGATAAACTGCGTTTGAAAACTAGCAGGGACTATATTTTTGGCGGAATGGTGGCGTATGAAAATATCTTCTTTTCTGCCTCTCAGAATAATTATAGAACATTGAATTTAGTTATAATTTTTACGCAATAAAAGACTAGACGAAATTTTCAAATGTAAGTTAAATTTATAATAAGGGACTAAAGTTTCAAAATATATCAAATAATAAGATTTTTCACACATACTAGAACTATGTTGGCTTTAAATGCTTCAATTTTTACAAAAATCCGTAAAAAGTGTTATTTCTCTCTTAGTAAACGATCAAAACTATTAGTTTTTGTATCATTTTGTACCTTTATGTGACAATTTTACTATATGTGAAAATTAGAAAAAGTTAAATGTAGGAAGCATATAAAAATAACTAATAAATCCGAAAAATTTAAGAAAAGTAGAGGAAATTCGGATTAGCAATTATCTATCTTATTTAAATTATCCATGTCAATTTGGTAATATCATCTAATAGGCCGTATATGGTAGTATCTTTTTATGCAAAAAGAAAAACATTCAACATGATTGGAAACAGTAATTTTTTTATTTTTGATGTCCAGGAAAAAGGTAATGAACTTGACCTGACCTCGCCTCTAATATTTAACTGTCAAATTTAATCTCACTGAAACCATCACTTAGTGATATTGTCCTCTTGATTCTGTGAAAATTTCATTAATTTTTAAATACAAGAAATGTGAGAAGAATCCTACCTTAAATATTATTCTGTGACATAGAATACACCAAACTACCTTTTTGCTATTTAGTCTTTGTCAATCCCTGATTTTTATTTACTATATTAAAATGCTGTCATTTTCATTGTTATTTTGTCTATATTAATCCATGATAAACTGTCTCTTAATATCTTAAGAACTGGAGTATCTGTGAAATTACACTGCTAGCCAATGATTACAAAACAATTGGCAAACAACAAATCTGATTTTTTAAGTGGAAAATTAGCTCTGTAAATGTTAATTTGACTGATTCTAATATTGTCGTATTGTGCTCAGTACAAATTAATGATCAACGATTATGATATTGTGCTTTAACCTTTAACTGTAACCTTTTCTTTAAACCATGTACGTCTTTACTAGAATCATAAAAATAGTCGGTGAGGCCAGTCCACATAAATTATGATGAAACATGATGAAAATGGTTTCTTTTATAATTAAGCTTTTTCTCCTATGGAATATTTCTTTTACCAAATGCTCTCTTTAAACTATATAAAGAAACATGTATTTCTTAAATCTATCACCGTATGTTTCGTCAGGATTAACAAGTGTTACTTGGTTTCTTCTTCACGACTTAACGGCAGACTATCTATCCACTCCTTCCATGCGTGCGTGAAAAAAAAATTGTGAAATGTTTTAATTAGCAATAAAAATCTATCAGGTTCAGAACAATCATATCATGCTTAAAAGATTTAAAAATTGGCCATGCCGTTTATTAAAACCTATGTGCACTAAATCGATAAAAATAAAAAAACCAAAACAATAAAATCTTCGGAATCCGTTGAAAATGGAAGACATGATATACATACTGACATTTTAATTTTGTAAGAATTAATAAATAAACGTGTTTTTTTTTACAGGTTTATCGTGTAAATTAACTTTATTACTTTCCCATTTCTTGACGGTTTGTCCTAATACGAAATTTATGAAGTGCCCCTGCATTAAGGTATTATTTATATTTAATTCTAACAGACATTATTTCTAGAAAATAATGTTACTTTGAAACGTTTATTCAGATTACTTAGACATACACGAAAAGATTATTTGAGTGGTGAACAATAACAGCAAGTAATTATCAATTACTTTCAAAAGTAAGCTTAGTTTATAAATTTCTGTCTGACTTTTATATAATTAAATGATAAGGCACCTTTAAAACATTGTTTGGCTGCCCTCTCCTGATTCGGTCTTAAAATATTAGGTCGGTAGGTGGGTAAGATTTTTTTTTCTCAAATTTCAATGCTTTTTTAAATTCAGCCTTTAGGAGAAATTAAAAAATTGCTTCGTGGAGGTTAAAAAGTTTTGACTCCGGTAATTTTTAGCCAGTCGATCTGGAGAGGATCCCCAAACATTTTTTAAATGGCATTAGCATGTAATGAATTATTTGCATTGAGTAGAACAGATACAACTATCCATTTTATATTACTTTTTTGATCACTCTTCTGCCTTTTTATTTTTTCCGTTTCTCAATTACGTTAAACAATACTATGAAGGAATATAATTTATGTTTGTTTCCAAATAATAATTTCTCTTTTTTTTCTTCCAAAAATGTATAGATACATTTTAAAGTAAATATTTTTGTTTCCTTAATGAGGAGAAACAAACAAATGTGCTCAATATGTTGTTATGTCATGAACTTGTTTGTCAATAAGTTATTTTGTTTAGAAATTGTTCATAAGTAGAGCACGCTCTTGGGTATCGAATCAACTGAGATTATAAACTCCGTATGTAGGTGATGAAGATATATTGCTGCAGTTATGTCTCGTTTTTTTTTCCTTTGCTATGTATTGTCAATACATAGAACCAGTTTTTAAACCGGATTAGTAGGATATATTTATCATTTTACCGCTATAGTATTCTGTTTAGTTTGTCACGATAAAGATACCCAGCAAGTTTCAAATCAATATTTTCTAACATGACAATCTTGTTTGGATCTTTAATTCAGTACAGCAATAACCTGATCTTAAACCATACTATGTAAAATTAAAAATGCCATAATTCTGTCAAAAATCAATGAAGCCAATTGCAAACGACGTTCCAACTTGATCTTTCACTCACTAAGACTAACACCAAAACAAACCAAAAATAAGCTCAATATCTGCACGAGTTCAGAAAAAAAGTCCGGAAAATAAAGTAGGAAAATAGACAGACGGACAGACAGACAGACAGCTAGACGGATGGACAGCTAGACAGACTCAGAGGAAACTTTTAGTCCCCTCTGGTTTCACTGGTAGGGGACTTACATCATCAAACGTATCATTAAGTGTTATTATACAATTATTGACTTATCCATCAACGCCCTTTCCTAGTAAATATCCAAGAGTGTAGCTGAAGAGTTAAACTTTACTTTTCAAACTTCCGGTGAAAAATCTTTTATTTGGGGGGGATTTTTTTTTACAACATTGGTCTATCAAAAGATATTTTCAATTCAAAAACAAATAAAATTAATTGATCAAAAATATTCTTTGAAAGAAATTAAAACCATTTAATATCTTTATTTCTTTCATTTCAGAATGCATTTTACTGACATAGGGTCTAACTAAATGGATTTCCAAAATGTGGAAAAAGGTTTAATATTTTCTGTTGCTTGCTACGCTGGTTTATTCAACCGTAAACGCTGCCTCCCTTAACATTTCTAATCTCAAAAACATCTACATTAATGTATGCGGAGAGGAATTTCTCTGTAAGGAATGGCCAGGTATGACAAAAGCTCAACATAATCCCGAAATAAACCGATGTCCGCCATGTTCTTGTGCAGACGATTGCTTCAACAACAACACATGCTGCCCTGATAAATTTTTCGAACGGAAAATTTCAATATTTCAAACTCCCTATCTAATAAAACGGAATTCCGATCTTACAAATTACGTCCAATATGCTTTGATTTCCTATTGTCCCCAAGATGAAAATTTAGAAACAAAACTACTTTGTGAAAACCTCAAACTCTCTACAGACAATGATGATGACAATAGCAATGTTTTTCCGGTAACGTCACTCTCAACTAATTACTCTTATGCTAACCGCTACTGTGCAGCTTGTCACCAGGAGCTGGCTGATGATCTGAGAAAATGGCAGATAGCTCTAACCAGCAGTGATTCTGCGTATCTGAATTTTATCTCCTCTTTGTCTGGGCTACTATCATGGCCAACGAACCTAATTTCGACTGTAGTTTTTTTCTCCACCAAAGGATTTAAAGGACTGTTAATTATCAAACAAAATAATTTGAAATATGATGACATGTCCGTGTTTTCCCCTGATGGCTTAAGCTTTCTCCCTGGAAATGACGATATTACGGCTGCATGTATATCTTCGTATGGCCTGCGATATAGAAATTACCAAAATGTCTTTTCTTATAAAGAATCAGGAATTTGACTTCGATTTATTAATTTCAGAGTGCAATGTGACGTCTTTGTGGCACATATATGACTTATCAATAGAAAAAGCTTGTCAGCAGAATCCAGTGTCGGTTTTGACATTTCCTTATAAAAATGTATACTGCTATCGATGTAACCTGCCACTATTCGACATATCTTCTCCTTTTATGTCGTTTAAAAACACCAGATCTACATTCGATGATTTTTCATCATCATTTCAAGAAATAACACTTTCAGAAACAAAAACTCATCATATTTTTGATGAAATAAAGATCTATCCAAGATTTATTTCTGAAAGCATTCAGTTCCTGATGACATTTTCTGATTATGATAAGAAGCAAACCATCAATAATAATAAGTTAACTCAGACATTAACCTCTCTTGATCCTGAGCACGTTTGCCACCAAAGTTATCCAGTCTCTTGTGATTGTATTGTCTCTTTCACAATATCTGTAATTGCTGTATTGATACTGCATTACAAAATCTAATTAGCTGTTTAGATAAGTATAAAGGCGTACTACATAATTCAATTGCAGTCATTTAATTCAAACTATAACAAATAGAATATGAGGATTTGTAAATAAATTTTCATATTCATAAAGAAGTTTATAACTATGTTCCAATGGCTACCAGATACGCAGTAAAAACTCAAAATTCAAACATCATTTTTGTGAGAAAAGAATGGTATATCAGGTTAATTGAGCCTTTAATTTCATTTTATGATGTTTGTCTTTGTATTTAAGGATATCCGATCCTCAGCCATGAAGGATAACTCCAAAAATTGATATTTGAATAGAAAAGCATCAAAATGAAGCTTGAAAATAATTTTTTATGCAACAATTTTCATTTTATTCATCTTTTTAAGATTCAAGGTTTTGGAAGTCTTACAAAAGATCTTATAAAAGTTGACATTTATACCCAATAAAAAGAAAAAAAATAATACAGTTTTAGAGAAAGAAGATTTTCGTGAATCCAGCCTTAAATACCAATCCTTATTAGCATGATATGAAATAAAAAGTGATTTGTTGTGTCTTGCAATGATAGCAAAAGCCTTTTACACTATGTATTATAGAATACACAACGGAAATCAAAGACAAAAAATAACAATTACATGTAAGTATTAAAACCATAACAATTTCTCTAAATGCCTGGATACCTACGGTTTTGTAACCTAAAATATATTTGTTGATCAATTCGCAATTAGAAAATGCATTGCTGATATTCCAATTCGCTTTTTCTGCAAAAATATTGGAGATTTGGCAATTTTCCATATCTTTAATCTTCAACTTTAAAGAAATACTGTGAATAAACTTACATAACTTTGTGGATTCAGAGATACTTTTATGAGCATTTTTGATTACTTAACTGAGGATCGGACTACCTTAAATTTGCCTTTGCATTTTTTTTTTTTTGGTTTTTACTAAAGGTATTTTACCCTTTCCGCTTCCGTTACAAACGCAAAAACTCTATTAATTGAAAATGGACTGTCGATTCAAAACTTTGTACATAGATATCGAAATCATGTGAATGAAAGTTCGTAAGTGGTCATTCTAAATCACTATGTGATATCAAATCTTCATATTCACATATCCCTTTAGGGAGTTAATCCTTACGTCACAAGTTCGAACTCCACAGTGTGTGAAGACTGGTCCTTCTGATGAGACCGTATTAACCGAGGTATCGTCTCGCAATAGGTGCTGGCACGAAAAAGATCCCT